GAGCTCGAGAGGCCGGTGTTCCCAATTCCCAACTTTCCCCCTGAAAGGGAGAGAGAGAGAGAGAAAAAAAGTGGGTGAGTGCGTGCGTGCGTGCGAGCGAGCGAAGAGAGAGAGACACAGACAGACAGACAGAGAGAGAGAGAGAGAGAGAGAGAGAGAGAGACAGACAGACAGACAGACAGACAGACAGACACACACTGCTTCTGCTCTCCACGAGCAGATGACACGTCGTTGCACGGAAGGGAGGTGGTGGGGAGAAGGCGATCGACAACACTTTGTTTCTTGCGTTGGGGATGCCGACAGCACTCAGCACCACCTTCAAACGCGCAGGCGGGGGAGGGGGGGGGGCAGACACGAGAAACCCCCGAGGATCTATTTAATAGGCAGGTACATAAGCCGCCATCAATTGTCCATGCGAGGCAGCACGCACAGCACCCTTGCGCATGGGTGCCTGGACGGTGGGTTTTTACTCCCAGGATATCACGTGTTCTCCCAAAAAGCAGCAGGAGCCTTAATCAGTAGCCTTCGCGACGATACTTTGAGCTTGGTTTAAAATGTGATTATTTTTTGGGTTTAGAGTTAAGGATACGGAACCCCCCTCTCTATTTTCATGAACCCCCCTCTCGAAATCGAAATGATAGAAAAAATAAATTCGTCCTCGCGAAGGCGGTTGGCCTGAACACAATGGAAACCAAGGCAGCCTATTTCCCAAGCCTTGTGTGGCCTCTTGTCAAGGAGTGCCGCGCCCCATGTGTTCCGCCGCGTTTTTTTGAGAACCATTCCGAGGACTGGAGCCTGATGAACTCCGAGAGATCACAAAAAACATTCAGATAATAAGTCCAGTACCCAGCCGGTTTCCCTCCACTCACTGAAAAGACTCCACCACATCCCGTTCGACTGTGGGTATATCTCGAATGGGTAGTCTTTCTGTGTGTGTTTATATTATTCCTTAATTCAGAAAAAACAACAAAAACATATCCCCTTTCGACTGAGGTTATATATCTCGAACGGGTAGTCTTTCTGTGAGGTTATGTTTACTTTCTAAAAATGAACCAACCGGTTAAAATTGAAGTGTCGAGCCTGCCCCCACGACTCTCTTTCGTCTGGCTATTAGTACAAGTGTAGATAGCGCAGCGCTAAGAAAAGAATTGCGGTGCAGCAGCACACCCGGGTTTCTCGCCGGAGGAGCAGCCGAAGCTCAACTCCACCGATGAAGACATCAAACAATAAAAAAATAAAAATAAAATAAAAATAGGTGACACATCAGACACGTACCACAGGCAGGCTATGCATAAAAGGAATGTACGTAGGTATGGTTTGGGCTTCCTCCGCATTGGGCGGGCATGTTGTACCACTATGCTGCGCGCGCGTGAGAGGGAGAGAGGGGGTCCTTAATCTTCGCGTCGGAGGGCGGGCGCTATTCTTACGTTGCGCGCGTTCGTTCTACATGCGCAGCCAAGCGCTTTTTCTTCGGGTAGACAAACACCGCCGCACTTGCCGCACCATGCCTGCCTTCAACTCCGAGGAGGACGTGTAAGTATGTACACCAGACAGCAGATGCACCATGCTCTGGCGCCGGGGATAAAAAAACAACCCTTGACCAGGTCTAGGGATTGAACGTCCCTGAGAGGGAAGACGAGCACGGCGATGGATTGCGTCGTGGTATATCCATTCTCAGCTGCAGGCAGGCGCAGCGGCGGCAAGAGGCACACACCATCGAAGCGGATAAACGGAGATCTGTGCATGACCTGTCCGACGTGCAACCAGAGCGCGGCAATCGTTCCGGACCTGCTAGAGAGACTGCTGTTTGTACATTGCTGTTCGTTCTCTCTTTGGAGGGCAAAAGCTGTAGAGACGAGAATCCACAGCGGAATCATCCCCCCGACGAAGGGTGTGGCGCGCTTTGTGTCTACGCTGAGAGCCGCGGCAAAAACGCACCGCGCAACCGGTGCGGTGGAGTATGCTACAGAGGTCTGCGTAAGAGCCACCAGCAGGTGGATGCTGCGTATGATATTTCCGATCGAAGCAGCCATTTGAACTTTGAACTCAAGCGCCCAACTTCACCTCTCAAAAACAAAACAAAACAAAGGAGGGTGTACCCCCGCACCACCTCCTGCACGCCATGTTGTCTGTTGTCAGCGTGCCCATCATCCGGCGAGCGGGCTCCGCATACAACCTCCCGCTCTCTCTCTCTCTCTCTCTCTCTCTCTCTCTCTCTCTCTCTCTCTCTCTCTCTCTCTCTCTCTCTCTCTCTCTCTCTCTCTATCTCACCCACAACTTTACCCAACCACCCCCCCTTGCTCGAGCCAACTTCAACGGTTATTTCTATCTCTTTCCCACCCTCCCTCACCCGCTCGA